GGCAACACCACCTCCCAGGCCTCTGCGGCTGCCTTCCTCCGGAGCTGGCGCACACAAGGCTCACCCTTTGCGCACGAGTCTGTGGAGAATCGCCCGCCCGCTTCCTCGCGCGGCCGCTGGTCGCTGTCGCAGAAGAGCAGCACCTCGACGGTGCCAGAGAGCGCGCTTGCCTCGGCCTGGAGCCTGTGCGATCGCTACGAGCAGGAGCTGGATGTCATCCATATCAAGTACCGCTGGGCCATGGCTTTCCTCGGCAAGGCCTACACCGAGAGGATGGACCAGATCAAGGAGCAAGACGTCGCCCGCAGCAGGGATGCTAAGAACCGAGGCGGCAGGGGCAAGGTCAGCTCTGAGGCTATGGATGCCCTGCTGCTATCCGTCACCGCCACGTTGGACCGTCAGCAGCGACAGCGATTCAAGAGGCGGCTGCACCAGGCGCTTCGCTGGTACGAAGCAGCCAAGCAGCTGGGCTGGGGCATGCTCTGTCTGATGCTGCACGATGTCATCACCAACTCGTGGGTGGAGAACGATCTTCGCATCTGATACTGGCACATCTGGCTGGAGCTCGTAGTCAAGGTAAACCCTGGTGCTCACAAGGCGAGCAGAGCATTAGACGAGTGGCTGGGCTCAGAGGGCATCTCTGGCGGCTCTATTAGCGAAAAAGCAACGCTCTCAATCGAGGCAAGCGCGCCGGCGCCTGCGACAGAGGTGGAAGAGATAGAAGACAGCGAGCTGGAAGAGAGTGGAGATGGCAACGACGATAGCGTGGAGCCTGCGCCCTCCCAAAGGACTGCAAAGAGCCCTGCCGCCGCCCATGCAATGCGCCAGCTTACCCTACTTGAGCTCTTTAAGCCTTTTGCAGGCACATAGCGTGCTGTAATCAATTGCTCTGTGCTGTGTATTTCATGTGTTACCTTCTTCTGTTAGTGTTAACTACAGTGTTGTTGTTCTGCGTTCTGCTGCAGTTATTGTCCGCGCTAGCGCAACCCTAACCATGAACATTAAACCCTACCCCTATTAACCACGCAGCTAATTTTGCTACAACTTGCACAGGTAATGCAGGTTAGTACTACAAATTATATGTCTAAGTTTAAAGCAGATTAAGTCTGTTATTACAGAACAACTAACTTATAGTTAGGAGGAAAACTAACTATACCCTGTAATAAGATATCCGCGCAAAACCTGTAGCCCTAGTCCCTAACAAATTTGCAACCCTAAATCAACCATAGGTACAGTTGGTTTACCCATCTTGGATAGACAGTGCGTAATTATTGTCTGCTACCTTGACAACAAAGTATTGCTAGAGCCCACTAGTTTGGAAGAATGTCTGCGCTATGACCTTCTTGCAGAGTCTAACGTCTTTACTGCTCCAAGCCATCTGGTGTACGTTGTTGCAGTGCTTCTGCATTCTGATCTTGTTTGTGGTACAGAAGCTGCAGTCGCTAGTGATCCTGCATTGATAGACGTCTAACGGCTCGCCTAGCTGCTCAATCAGCGGCCCCAACGGCGCAGGCAGCTCAACATCTTGCGGTGCGGCGATCTGCCATTGCCGGCAGTGCTCTACAATTGATTTACTCTCTTCGCTTGCTACGCCGTGCTGGTCGCGCAGATGCACATCGACGTTCTGTATGCCTGTAGCGTGCTCCTTGCAGATTAGCACCTGATAGCGCTGGAGATAGCAGAAGCGCTCTTGCACGTTGTTGATTGTTATCTTGCTTGCGCGCGGTCGCTTGCGGTGCTGCGTTGTAGTTATTGTTGCGGGTGGCTGTGCGTTCCAGCAGAACTCCATGCCTAAGATAACCCTAAGCGCAGCAATGCAAGCTGAGAAATGCAGAAACAAAAGTTGCGGCGCGATAGAGTGTATGATTTTTGGCAGGTTTTGTATGGAACATGTTCCGCGAGCGGTGCAGCTTAGGGGTATGATTGGGGGTCAAAGACACGATGTTTGCCCCCTATCGCAGGCCCAATTCGGTTGCGCAACCCTAACGCTACACCCATTTCAGCGATGATCGGGCCCAAGCCTGCGCGTCATATAGGTTAGGTTTAAGTTGCGTTGCGCGAATCCGTGCATCACGCGCACGGACATGATATGTCTGCCAAGGTAAAAACCGCCATCTCTGTCGAGTCTGTGGCTCCGTCTCCTCTCTAGACGTACACTTTGAGAGTACCACCGAGAGCACCACAAGCAACCATGACAACAAACACTGAACGAGACGCGTTTGGCCGACTTCCTGAGGAGCTCAGGATTAAGATTATCAAACTCTCACCAGACCCCTTGTCACTACAGAACTTGGCCCACGCGTCGCCCGCTATGGGCAGAGTGCTCGACAAATACGCGCTCGAAATTGTGGAGGTGGTCCTAGACGTTACCGTTCCCGTGCAAACTCGTCGGCTGATGGGCGCGGTTCTCAAAGCTCGGTTTTCGCGCTTTCCAGCATCCCTGTCCGAGGCTCAAAAGGTGGCTAAAACTGACTCGACTGTGGCCACCGACGAAATGCGTTCAAGCGGAACGGACCGAGCCGCCGCAGCAGTATGGTCTTTGCTCGCCACCGCTGAGATTGTCCATGCCTGGTCCTATGCCTGCCTCGAACATTTGGTACGAAAATCAATGGAGCTGCGGCCCTCTACGCTTATTAAGAAAGGGCCTGGCCGCACATCTCGGGAACAGTTTGAAAACGCTGAGAGTCGTAAAGACTATCTGCCACAGTGTACCGGCCTGCCTTCGTGGGTGGAGGAGCAGCGGATGATTAAGTCATTCTGGCGACTACAGTTCTTCCTGGAACTCCAGGGCGCTAGTAACAAAGGCCGCCTAGGCACCTGTTGGCTGGGACAAGAAGTTGAAGCTTTGTCTAAGAGCAGCCCGGATGGCTTTTACAACATGTTTAGCTTTGAGCAGGAGCAGACCTTAACCGCCTGCGATTTTCTTGGCGCAGTCACCTCTGGGGCTATTAATTTAGTGGCAGCTGTTCACAACAACGCTTATAGGTTGCCAACAATACGTTGGATCGAAGGGGCAGTGCCAAGGTGCTCTTATGTTGAGCCGCCCTCATTCAAGCGCAACAAGGACAATTTCTTTCAGGGACCAGAAAACCTCGACGCAAACCAAATGTCATACCATTTTCAACGCTTCATGTCCAGCTGCGATCAATATGAGGATGCGGGCTCGGTTCTGCTCGCGTTCCCCTTTCAGCCCTGGCGCAAATACGGGTTCGCTATATGGGACGGCAAGCGCATGGCCGACTTAGGCATGCGGGACCCGAAAGGAAAGTCGTTCCTCAGGAATCGAATGAAATACTCTTTTAGATGGTTCAGCATATTAACTGAGGAGGACCTGCGTGACCTGCCTTAGAGCTTGTATAATTAATAGTCGAGCCGTTTTTCCGCAGAGATTAAGGTCTAGTATGATTGACACAAGATTAAGATGGGCAATAGAAAGAGATGATCAATAGAATGATATGAGGAGCCATCGAATACGATGAGCAATAGAACTCGAGGTTGGGCATTCTTGATAGGAGGCATTCGTGATAGAGGACATGGTTCATGCACGTACGAAGTGGCTAGCTTAGCAACAGCAAGAAAAGACCGGTGTCCACATCCACTAGGGAACATGGGGCTTCAGAAGTTGTCTGAACAACTCGGTTTGGCCCAGCCGAGCGGATACAGGGGAGGAAAGCTTAGTGAAAAGTTTTACTGTGTAATCTCAGGCAGATCTTTGACCTTGGGTCCATCCTGGATCCATCTCCGTAGTCCCTCCCCCCCTTCCCGTAACGAGGTTCACTACCCAATATAGAGCAATCAGGGACCACAAATGTTGCATAACTCTTGCAGTGCTGTACCCTGGCGAAGGAGAAAATGAGGTGCCTGACCTAAAGAAGTCAGCTTATTGCCTAGCTTCTCTAGGTATAGTGTTTCATCCTTCGCCAGGGTCCATGTGCTCCTTCAACGGCCATCCTTTGCCTAGCCCTGAATCTACGTGAAATTGCGTTCTGTACCTATGTCAACGCTTGACCTATACAGTCGCTTTTCAGGACGATGGATCGTAGTTCATTAGCTCGTCTCGACAACCACGCACGTCTTGTATATATCCCTAGCCCGAGGCTTCTGCCATGCTTGACTCTTTCTGCACTCGCTCTTCATATCCTTTCTTCAGCCGTTCGTCATGATTTCCGTCGGCATCCTCGATGGCGCCGGGCCAATCCAGGCTAGGAGACATAGTCCTCAATACTGTCTCTTGACTCTCATTGTGGCTATCTGCCTTGCGGTGTTCACTGGCTCCTACCTCTCCCACAGTTCGCACGATCAACCGCCATCTGACGTGCAGAAACGAAGCGTCTTAGAAAATCCCCTTGGGTTCAACGACTCGCTCGTTTCGCTGACACAGGAACTTGTCTTGCCTGAACTTGTCTCTCGTGCAGCCAACCAAAAGCTATGGGACAAGAAGGTTGGAAGTGGCCGATGGTGAGTTAAAGCATTGCAGGCTTCCCTTCCTCCCTTTTTTTATTTTTTCAACTCTCTCCTGCCAGCTTGGACGAAACTTGGCTGACAGCATCAATGTAGTAAGCAGATCAAACTAAAAGCTCTCTTCTCCCTACCATCTGCTAACGACAAGAACAGCTCTCTGGTGCATGATGAACTCTAATACCGTGGTGGAGGGGACCGTGACGTTGGAAATACTCACAGCGACTGGGTGGGAAGAATATGATGATCAAGCAGCAGTAAATGATTGGCGCGATGGATTAGGAACAGCCGATGGTTTGATGAGAATAAATAATTAATTTGCTCAAACCTAGTGGCATGAAAATGATTAGGACGACAATGAAGGCAGGAAAGGACTAGTACGTGTTCACAGTCATGCTAGCACAACCTTTTACTTTACTAACCTGCATAGCTTGGCTTTTATAGTTCACCCTAGGTGGCATAGGCAACATTGTCAACGGCGAGAATAGCTACATTATTGCTGGTGAAAACGTGGCGCCCTGGGAAGCGAGGAAAGATCTTCCTAAATCAGAGCTCCCTAATACAAAATGGACCGACATCATGGCAGTCCAGTGGAAGCAGTACGCGCCCGCCGGCAGCGACCTAAAGCGCGTATACCGATCCAAAGTCGTCTACTCCGAGTCGAAACGCCTCATGGAAACGGCCTTGGAGAAGACCAGAAATAGCGGTGATCTGGATGAGCTGCCGTTACCGTGTCCGTGCGCGTGATGCCCGGATTCGCGTGATGCCCCGAAACACCAAAACAAGCACCTGCAAACATGAGGCTGTAGAGCTACACAGAATAGCTATTATCACGAGATTTTGTAGTGGATAAATCTATACAGATGTACGATTGTTCTGGCTTCCCAAACTTCTTACGTGGAGCAATTTTGCGGCCACAGGAGTTGTATATAGGTGGTGGTGATAGAGAGCGCGTCGCATCAATAGCATGACTACTACTACCTCCACCACTACGCTTTTTTGTTTTTTTTGGCTGCAATTGACGTGAGGCCTGCCGCTTAGCCTGATCAGGCAATTGGGTAATTTTCTCTGCGTTTTTATCGAGTTTTTGGGCCTCTCTGGCAGCCTTGCGTTTTGCTACTTCTTCGGCCTCCTTAGCACGCTCTTGGTCACGCTCTTTCTTCTCTCTTGCCCGCTTCTCACGCTTCTCCTGAGCAATTTTCTCGTTGTATGCCTTATTAGCACTCCTTGTCTTAGCTCTCTCACTCTTTTAGAGTTCTTCTGCCTCCTGGTCTTGTTGTTTTGCCCTCTCAAGTGAGCGTGCTCTCTCTACTCTGCTTGGAGAGTAGAATTCTGCTCCACCATGATAAGACTCTAATGGCAGAACTTTCCTCTTATTCTTGTGCTTCTTCTGAGTCTTTAGAACCTCTTGCAGGCCTCTAACCTCGTGGTGGAGGAGAGAATTCTAGATTAAGATGTGGTGGAGTGATCGGCTAATCTTTTTTAACTCCTTACTGCTCTTATCCTTAGCCACCTTGCGTAACAGAGTCTTAATCTTGAGCCAGTCCTTGCCAGAGTAGACTAAAGAAGAGCTGCTGTTGCTATCGGAGGCCTCAGGGGTATCCTTTGCGAAGCGTTGGAGGATAACGTTGGGTTGAAGAGGTTGGTTGGTTGGTTGGTTGGTATTCATTTTATGTCTAATTGATGAGGATGAAGTCCACCATCTCGCCTCCCAAAGGGCATATACGACGTGCTAAGCTATAGAATTACAGTGCAAATACACTACCCTAGAAAGCATTTCTTGCCTGCGTGGGTATTACTACTATGTTATGCTACAGCTCCCCTTCTAACTAGGGAGACTAAGCAATCTGTGTACATTAGGGTAGATAACTTGTCTATGTTTAGAGGCAGTAAAGTGCTGGAGAAGTGGGAGAGAGGAAGAGTAGGAAGGAGAGTAAGGAAAGAGTACAGTTGTTTGCTGCTGTTGTAGCATAGGGTGAGCTACTAGGGGCAGACCTTGGTGTAGTACTGTGTGAGTCAGACAAAGGCTTTAAAAGCCTCTAGATCCCTAATCAGCGCGGCAGTATACGCTAGGCTATTGTTCTAGCTAGATAGTGGTATAGGTGGTTAAAGTGGCTATCAGCCAAAGGCTCCTAGGGTCTTGCAGCAGAGCGCAAGGTGCTCTGGCGTCTTGTTGTGTCTATATAAATAGGTAAGTGTTGTGTTGTTGTAGCTAAACTTTTAGTAGTACTACGCGAAGTCACTGTGCATAGATTAAATTAAGAGTAGTCTAGCTAGGTTAGCTCTTAGTAGGTCTAATTCACGTATTCTGCTGTAAAGTAAATAGCCTAGCTCCTATCTTCTATACTATGTAGAGAGGCTTTCTTTCTTCTTAGACTACTAGGTCTGCTGTGTGTTGTGCAATGTTTTGCGAGCAATGGATTTAATGCCTACTAGTGTAGGAACAGCAGCCTTTCTAGTAGGGAGTGATGGGTAGTGGGCTTTAAGGTTTGCTAGCCTATTGGCCACTTTGTTTCCTTCAATACCTAGATGTCTAGGGGCCTACTTGACAGAGACGTCGTGTGTCTCTATGGCACCATAGCACTCTAGGAAGGCCCATTGAGAGGTATGGGATGCGCTGCCCTTTAGGCACCATATAACTAAGGTGCTGCCTATGCATAGCAAGATTTAGCAAGTATTAAGGGCTGGTTGTCTTATAGTGTGCTAGAGGCCCCTCTATGCTCCTACTGCTTCTGCGTCAAAGACGTGTGAGGTAGGGTAGAGTAATCTACTGTCAGATGCTCGTACTGTTAGCCAGAGTATGTGCTTAACGAGATCTAGGTGGTATGATGATTTATTGATGATCGTGGCGATGGTGTCTCTGCCGTGGCGTCGTGCTGGTTGCTACAGGATTGAAGTGGGGGGGGAATTAGCGCTGTTCGCGGCCGCCTGTGTGCGGGCCAATCAGGAGTTGCCAGGTCTCGCTTAATCGACCTAGCAACTGCTGATTGGCTGCACGACAGGTCCCTGCTCGATTGCGCAGATCTAACCTCTTGCTACTTGCTCTTATCTAACACACCCCCTTTAGCTTAGAAACTCTTTAAGCTAACTATTTATGTGCATATAAGGTTCTTAATTTATTCTTAAATCCTGTCTAGAGGCATGCTGTTTAGCACTTCTATTAACTCCCTGTTTACTAGACTAAGTTGCTAGAGGAAACCTTCCTACTTGTTTACTAGGAGTACCTTTGTAAGTCTGTCTACTATTGTGCTTATAGACTAGACGTGTTCTATAATAATCTTTCTAGTAGCTACCTCCTATTAGAGCTAGTAGTTGTAGATATCTATATACTAAAGTTTAGTATATAGTTACAACACTTCCTTAGTAACTAGTTAAATTATTTATTTATTATTATATTATATTGTAATAGTGTGTGTGCCTATATTAACATGTAGTTCGCGTAAGAGCCTTAAGATAAAGAGTACTTCTTTTACAACCTAGGTAAGAGCAAGAAGCTTAGCCTTAGTTATTAATATTATTACTATGTCCTCCTTGTTTACTTTCTATGTAATAAGGCTGCTAAAGAGTTTAATTATATAGCCTTAGGAGCTCTTTCTGTCTATAGTGTTGTTAGCAAAGGACGTGTTACTTGCTACCTAGAGGCTAATGCCTCCTCTAAGCTGCAGTGATCGCTGTTTAGTGTTGAGTAGATATAGAAGGACCTAGTCTGCAGCATTTTAGTGGTTGATGCCTAGATTAGTGAGGAACCTAGCAAGCCTTGATGTGGCGAACGCAATGTCAGGTTGCGTGGTGACTACAGCGAACAGCAGTAATCCAATTTTGCGTTAATACTTGTTAATTTCTACTAGTGCTGCTAGTCTACTCCTTAGCTGTAGTTTAGTTGTTACTATTAGAGTGTTATATTGTATAGTTGTGTTCTTAGCAAGGCAACTAATTTTGTCTAAGTACGCTGCCTAAGATAGGTAGATTTTCTTGCTTGCTTAGTCTTATATAATCTCTATGCTAAGGAACTACTATAGGTTGTGCCCTCCTAGGCTGGCGGAATGGGTATACTCCAACGTCCTTCGTGGGTACCCCCCAAAACTTTGTCAATAATACATGGATTCTAGCGAAATAGGGCTTAAAAGAAAGAGAAAAACTACCTCTATATTTCTGTAGTAGAGGGTTTTGTTATAACTATTAAACTGCACAAGCTAGAGGCTAGAAAAGGTTAAAAA